GACATGAGTCATTTGAGTTAAGGGACAGTGAATATGCTTGTGCGAGTGCTAGACAACCACCCCCACTGTCTGAAATCTCTCCCTTCTTGCTCTAGTTCTTAAAGAACAATCCAGAAACAAACAAATATGAAGGATGGCCAGAGCTGCTGGAGCTGGAGGGTTGTGTGCCCCGGAAGGTATATTAGGGTGATGGTGTCCCTTCCTGGGCCAGAGAGCCGAAGACACTCTCATCTGACTTGGGAGCAGAGCCCAGGCTTGCTGGGACTGGACTGACAGGAGCTGACTGTGGAGGAAGAAGAGGGAACAGCCACATGGAATGAGCTGACCGTCCCTGTCCCTGATTACACACTGTGACTTGCTTCCCCTCTGGGGAAACGACAGTTTCCCACTGCCCCCAGGATGCCCAGCCTGGGGATGTGCAGCCTCAGGACCCGTGGAACCAGCTGGCTATGGAGAGAACAAGAATGTCCCTCTAAGACTGCCACTGTTGTCTCCAGAAGGACTGGCTGCCTATACTTGAGCAAGATTAAATTCTATTTTTGCTGATTTTGACTGAACTTTCTAACCTCTAGAGTTGCCTTGCTTCTCCTTGGGATTGCACTGGTCTGGTCTCAGTTAGCACGGGCCTGGGTCTGGACAGGTAGAGGACAGCTCACCATTGGCAGCTGGCTGCAGTTTGGTTTTCTGGGGTTCTAGTGAGGCCCAAAAGAACCCTTGGTCCCTGAGACAGACAGAAATAGGGAGGCTCAGGGAACAAGTCACACAGAGTATCAGTATAACCTGTTCTTTTAAGGCAAGCCACTGGAAACCCAGAGCTGGAGAGGAAGAGGGCAGATCTGAGGCAGGGAAAGTGTCTACAATACTGAGCAGGTGTTGAGAAACATCTGCCTGGCTTTGGGCTGCCCAGGGGCAGAGCCTAAGACAAGGACTCAAGAGTAGATCGTGTATTGGGGGGCGGGGCAGCCAATAAGGAGCGTGTTGTCGGCAACATCCCACCCAGAACCCTAGCAACCTGTGTGAAGTGCACACCTGAGATGACATCCTTCAGGGCAGGAGAGTCATACATTTGGTGAGGGCTGCTGCCACTGGGGTGATGTGAAGCTCTAGGTGCTGCTTGTTTTCCCCATGTAAGAAAGAGAGGCCATCCGTGGCTTCACAGTGAGCCCTTGGCCAAGAGCTGTCAAGGTCAGTGCTGGCTGCCAGTAGACCAGTGGGGTGCAATGAGACGAGGAAGAGCCAAGGGACCCTGCCAAGGGTCTCTGAGAAGGGCCCAGTTCCCAGGCTCTGGACCAAATCCTAATAGGGGCTCATGGGAGTCTGTGCAGGGAGACTTCAAGTTTCATGGTGAAGAAACTCTAGGTCCAAGTGGTAGGGGCCCTGTTTCTAAGCCCTGGGCACAGGGCTCACACATGTCAAAGGCCAGTGGGTTGGGACACGGGTACCAGTTGCAGTGGAGCCAAAACCAATGCCCAAGGCCTGGGTGGGGATAACTTTGAGCAGGCTGAACTGAGGAAGCCAGAGGTGGTATCCACTCAGCCCCTCCCCACCACTAAGTCCCTCTGTCCCAACCTAGAATGTCTTCAGGGATCAAGAGAGCCTCTACTATCTACACCCACATCAAGATAATGCTTGAGAAACCCACCCTAGGATTGAACATGGCAAGTAATCATAAACACCTTCATGTTCTTGGAAATGTTTTTAAATATTTTATTTATTATTTTTATTTTATGTGTATGCATGTATTGCCTTCACGGATGCAAGTACATTTGTGTCATACAATGCCCGTGGAGGTCAGAGGAAGTTATGGATGGCTGTGAGTGCTGGGATCCAAACTCAGGTCCACTGAGAGAGCACCCACTGTCCCCAATTGCTGAGCCATTGCTCCAGCCCCGAAGACAGTTCTTGACAGTGACTACTATTTTTAAAATACCTGGGGTGGCCACCTAGCTGTAATAAAAGTCATTCGCACAGTTGCAGAGTGCATTAGAGATTAGAACATGTAACGGGCTCTGTCAGAACTCAGGAAAGGGATTCCTGGGGATGAGGGAGCTTAGAGAGGCAGCAGGGTGACCAGACAGCAATGCTATATCCATTCCCCCCCCCTGCTGTGGTTTCTAATGGCATATTCATTTATTCAATGCTATGACAAAAAGCCTGTCACGGGAAGTGTTTATTTGGGCCCATAGTCTGAGGGTACAGTTCATCATGGCAGGGACACCATGGCAGCAGCAGCATGGGGCAGCTGATCACATTGTATTCACAGTCAGGAAGCAGAGAGTGATGACCGCTGGTGCCCAGCTCCCTTTCTCCTTTTTATTCAGTCTTGGACTGAATGGAATGCTGCTGTCCGTATTGACAGTGGGTTTTCCCACCTTAATTAACTCAATCTAGAAACCCCTCACAGACATGCCCAAAGTTTGTCTCCCAGATGATTCTAGATCTTGTCAAGTTGACAATAAGAACCATCACAAATGGTCAGCTTGACCTCTTTTTCAGAGAACTACCTTCACAAAGACCTGGGCTTTACCCCACCATGGAGACGGCACTTGGCTGGTCATTGACAGTAAGGGCATAACGAGCCAGCTTTGTCTTGGCCTGAGCCCACAGAACCCACCGGATGCTAGGACTTTGCCTCAAAATGCCCTGTCCTGTTTGTCTTCTCCCTTAGTAGTGTCCCTGGAAATCAGCCCTTGATAAATCACCTTCATGAGAATCCTTACAGAAAGCTGGTGTCTGAGGGCCACTGGGTGAGCCAGTCAGATGGGTCTGAGCTTGAACCTGAGCCAAGATATGAGAGCACCAGTCTGCAAGACTGCTGTTACTAGGGGGTTGTTTCTCCAAGAGGCAGCACCCAGGCTGAGGAGCGGCAGGTGAGGAGCTGCATCTGGTGCTGCCACAGGGCTTCTGTGGAAAAGGCTACATGTTGTGCCATTCTGGGTAGCAAAAGCAGACCCTATAGCTCATGGCTCTCCAATATTCCCTTCCTTGGCAAGGAGCAAGGCCCCACAAACATATCCTCAGATGCAGAGTGGAAAATAAGCTCAAGTGACAATCAGCTGGACCTCTGAAGCCCCCAAGAAGACTGGTACTGGAGGCAGCCACACTGGACCTGGCTGGGGTGAGTGTCATGAATGTGACAGACACTGTGAGACTCTGAATCTTTTTCAGGGTGTTATAGCAATGACAGGGATGGCCAGATCAGCTCAGGGTTGAAGCAGAAAACAGTCCAAGGATATGAATGCCAAGTGTTGGGTCCACCCCACAAGTCAGCTTCCTCACTGCACAAACATCTTTCTGGAACCATTAAGGAACTGGGGCACAAGCCCAGCCACTGATCCATGGAACAGGGACACATAGATCAAGAGGTAGTGTGGCTGCATCCTGGCCACAATTAAGAAAAATACAGGACCCTTGTTCAGTCCTGGGACAGGGAAGGCATTGGGAGCAGGCAGCACCCACAGGAGTCCCTAGGATGCCTAGGGATCAGTCAGTCAGCAGATGGGAGGAGGATATGTGTCTAGACAATGTGAGCAAGGCTTGGAAGGGCCAAGGGAGGGGACAAGACTGAGCATCAAAGGGCCTTCTGGCCCAGAAAGAGGGCTTTGACCTGAGATAGCAATGACACAGAGCTTTAAACTAAGGAACGACATGATCAGATCTGCAGTGGGGGAGGGGGGTTATTTTATGTGTATGGGTGTATTGCCTGCATGTATATAAGTGTGCCCGTGTCATGCAACGCCTGTGGAGGTCAGAAGAGGGTGTTGTATTCCCCTGGAACTGGCATTATGGACGTTGTTAGCCACCGTGTGGGTACTGGGAATCGAACCTGGGTCCTCTACAAGAGCAGCCAGTGTTCTTAACTGCTGAGCCATCTCTCCAGCCAGCAGATCTGCAGTTTTTAAAACTCCTCAATGTTGTGTGGAGTCAGGGAGGCCAAGGAAGAGGCTTCTGTGACATCAAGAGACAGAACGTGGGCCGCAAGGTTAAAAATGGACAAGACTTGGAATGGATTTACTCATTGATGCAGACAAGCTTCCAAGAATCTGCAAGCTAACGGTGGCCTTGGGATTTGGAGTTTGGTTCTGCTTTCTGGCTTCCTGCCAGTAGGCCTCCCACCCACCCCAAGAATGAGATTTAGGCAAGTGTGTGGCATGTAGCAATTTCTCCTGAAGCTGCAATTCTGCTTCTCATCAGCAGGTGGCAGCATAAGAATGACTAAGAAACATGGCAAAGTGCCCTGGCCCTACCTCTTGGGAAAGGGGATTATGTTTAGGGAAGTACCTACCTGGGACTCAACAGGCAGAGAACTTAATATTCTGATTAATAGCATAATAACAGCATAACTGCATCACCGTGGAAATTCGCTGTTTCTGGAGCACTGCTCAGAGACTCACATCAATCCTGTCATTTCATCCTCAGGGCACCATGGAATGGGAACCACTCACACAGAAGAAGATTCAGAAAGGTCACATGACCTGTCCAAACTCACAGATGTCCAGTCTGGATAAGGACCAGAATCCAAGCCTTCTTCCATCATCACTTGAAACAGACTCTTCACTCTTCCTAAACCCACTCAGAGGTAAACAGTATCTCTTTCCTCTCTCTCCTCCCTTCCCTCTTCCCATCATGCTCTTCCAGAACTTCTCTGAACACATTTGAAGATGGCACAGACCCTCAGTGTCAATATCCCAAGCCTCTGCCATAATGGCTTTGGGAGATTTGGAGAGAGTGGCTGCAAGGGTTTGGAGCAGCTCTTTTCCAAGCCCTCCCACACTGTAAACCTGGCTTCCTCCCACAGGCTGGGGGGTGGGGGGCGGGGTGGGGGCAAGGAGCAGATGGTTAGTCCCATTTTGCACACTGAAAGATGTGACAAGGCCACCCAGTGAGAGAAGGCAAGGAGGGACAGGGAACATTGGCTACTTGGCCCCTTGGGCCACCCTCTAGCCTCCTGCCCATGTAGTGTGGTCCTGACGTTCACCAGGTCCTTCGTCTGATGGAGAGCTGGGCTTCAGAGCCCACGTGGACTCTGTGCAACTGGTAAGTCCTTTTTCAGCAGGACTCCATACAGATGGGGAAATTTTTAATGAATGTAAAACTCCTTTCCTCCCAAACCACCAAGAACCAAGCCGGTAGATAATTATGGGATGGCTGCCTGGGGGGGTCTTTGCTTTTCACACTGACTTACACCACCTTTTTTTCTAATATTTTTAATGTTTATGTGTATGAGTGTTTTGCCTGCATATATGCATGCAATGTCCTCAGAGGCCAGAAGAGGGTATTGGACTCCTTTGGAACTAGAGTTTCAGATGGTGTTAGCTGGTATCTCGCCAGCCCAACCGCAAACTTAAAACATTTTCAAGGCTCTGGCGCTTTGCAACCTGAAGCTCTCTCCTCCCTGAAGGAAGGAAGCTGACTGAACCCAAGCCAGATTGCAGTACGGAGAAAAGGATCAAGGAGCAGACCTGTGTTTGCTTGGCCAGAGTCCTGGAGCCTGGAGCCAATACAGCAACTGTAAAGATGGAATTTAAATTTGACATGCAATCACACACACGCTTGCACACACAC